AGAGAGAGAGACAGAGGCAGTGGCGTATAGTCAAACTCTGGTTGAACCTGGCGGCGCCAGGGTACTTTTTTCGGAAAGCCAAACCTGGCGGTGCAGCGCCAAGATTCTTTCTATATAATTATTTAGAACTAATTTTTTCATTTCATGTAATAAGTCGGTAAAAGCAGAAAAAGAAGCATTTAAAGATTTAATAAAATTTGAATTTTGACATGACATCATGGCGATAGCATAGATAACCAAACATCAAATCATAGTACATAACATATGTAGGCCTGTATTCTGAACGCACTTACAACGATGTTAGCGCTATAGTTTACGTTACGCATACTATAGAATTTCAGAGATAAAAACTTGTTCTAAATACGGATCATAGACTTTATCTAAAAGAATGGTTTGCAGATCAATTGATTTCGATCGCGCATTGCATGACTATATACTCACTCCTATCCTGCTATTCCTTCCATAATGCTGTACATATACCGTATACGCATATTTACGTGATTTTCAAATATATGGGAAAGAAGATCGAGTTCTAATATAAATAAAGAAAAAGAAGTAAAAAATCTCTTGTAATGTTCGAATCAAGCATTTACGTATACAGATGTGCGACATCATAATTCACAACTGTAACCTTTTGATAACACCGCAATTTTAACTAATCTATATGGTGAACCTCACGACGCAATTGTAGTTTTCTTTCTTTTTGATACTTCGTTCGGATTGGTGTTTGGAGATCCTGGCAACTATATTCGAAGCATCCGCCAGAGTTTTTCTTTTAGGACTACACTACTGGTGTTATAACCACAAAATATTTCGTGCGTAGATAAAATAGACTATATTGAGTAGAAAAGTCCCGTACCATTTTGCGATTTCAGCAAAAGTTTAAAGATTACCGAATATGTGCGTCCAACGTGGAAGCAGCAGAACGGCCTACCAAGCGCGCCGTTTGAGTCATGACGTTTTGGTGGTTTGCGGCGGTGTGCGCGGTGGACTTTCCGTCTCAGTTTAGTCTGCTTTATCTATCCACGATATTCATCAGGTGAATTATGGGAAACCCTGTTTATATTAAAGTACTTCTGTCTAATGTCAAAATCTATCCATTGCACTTCCTGTGCACAATATGTTAAAATTAAGTGGCAAATTTTTTTATGTAGACATATATTAGGATAAGTTAATCCATTTTTATTCTACTTTGAACAAAGTTTTGAATAATATTTCACAGAAAGGGAAAATATCATAATGCTAATGCAAATAAAACAAATTATTTTAATTAGCAATTATAAAATGATATTCAATAATTAAGTAAGTCAACTTTTATTGTTAGGAGCTGCTATTTAACCGATACTTGGACGTTGATTGGATTCGACGTGAGAACGGACTTACCGTCAAACACGTTTTGTCGGGCGTCAGGATCTACGGAAGCCGTGGCTATGATCGAAAATATAATGGAGCATATTGCAAAAGTGACACAAAAAGATTCTGTAAAAGTCAGATTGGCAAACATAAATGATGTGGATAAACCTGTTTTAACAGATATGATGGATGATTTGATGGCAAAATCCAATTATTTGAAGATCATGGAGGATACTCAGTACTTCAATGCAAGAAATCGTTGGATGAAAAAGGGAATTGCTCTGGTACCAATGAAATACTTGATAACATATGATAAAGGACAATACAACGCAATGGTGTCGATATGCGCTCGCGATGGTACGGTATGCGTGACACATAGCGGTATTGAGATCGATCAAGGTATACATACGAAGGTACGATGATGCATTGGATTGTATCTAATCAAGTAATTTCATACTTTCTATTTAATTATTAATAAACTAATAAAAATTACTTTTAATAATTCTGTTCTTTTGATAATATGAGTTTTTATAATTTTATAAAATTTTAATAGGAAACGTTGTTTTTTGAGATTCCTATGGTTTTAACATTTTTTATTTTTAATACAAATTAATTATTTTTTAACCTTATTAAATTTACGAAAAATTCAATTTAGTATGTAAGACAAATAATTCTTGTATACCAGATTGCTCAAGTAGCAGCTCGTACATTAAAAATCGATATTCACAAAATCACCATTAAACCAAGCAGTAATTTAACGGCTCCCAACGCGTCAACTACAGGACACAGCATTACCACGGAAAACTGCGGATACGTAAGAATTCAATTCGTCTCTATCACTATAAAGATAATGTTATAATCCTATTATATACATACAGCAACATGCACATCGAGAATGGAAGGTCATGGATCAAAAAATGTCTGGAAAACAAGAAATTTTTTAAAATAGTTTAGACAAGAGTTGCAGGGTTTAAAAGACCTACTTACTGGTCATAATCGTTTGATTTTGGGTAATGCTGCTGAGGCTAGTCCAAGGTCACATCAAAATGGAACAACAGTATTTTATTTTAGAATTTATTATAACACCTGATGTCAAGATCCTAGTAGCACAGAAAATTTTGGCTATACATTTACTAAAATTGACCAAACGTTGTTTATATTGGGCATAAGTTCGCCAATATTTCCCAATGTAATACCAATATTGGTTATATAATGATGCCAATGGAGAATATGTACCATTTAAAATCATTCGTTTCCTTTCTTTCTATGAAGTAAAGAATTCTGATTATTTAAATTTCTTATAACTTATGTGTTATGCGTTCTATAAGAGTCCGTGCTCCCCGTCTAAAGCGGATGGCGTCGAGTGGTTCATCGCTTGGTGCGATTAATTTGCGTTCTGCAGACTCAAGTTTAATCCCACCTGAGCCCGAACGCGATCTTTTCGCATTTTAAGGAGTCGAAAAAGGCTCCACCTGGTAATCAAAAGGTCTATGATCATCAGCGTCGTTTCATTTCGGTGTTAAATTGTAGGTGCTGTATATACGTAGGTCAATAGATAAATGTTTCTGCTGTCTGACCAACAATAAGATAAGATTCAGTAAATATCTAGAAAAGGGGAGCCCCCCCCCCGATGATCTTGACCTTGACATATGTTGTTAAATTTTAGTCGTCGTTGCGTCAATTCGACCTCATAACTAGTGCCGGCGGTAATTTAAATTTCAAACTTTATAAATTCTTAAGGAAAACAAACTTTAGTCTAGCGTTTTCCAAAAACTATTGACATCAACTATGAGATTCTGGAATAAAAAGTAGGGTATCCTATTTTTAAAAAAATTGATGTGACCTTTACCTGACTTTGACGACGCCACTCAAGGTCAAACAAATATGATCAGTAAATAAATCTTTTTAAACTCTACAAATTTTGTTTAGATTTCTCCCAAAAGTGCTTCGTTTTCAAGACATTCCAATACAGTATTTCTCATTTACCCTGTAACGTATAACTTGTCATCGGTAATTACATTTTTTTTCAGGCAACGCAACAAGCTTGCATACAAATTTTGAAGAAACTGGAGCCAATAAAAAAAAAAATGGGAGAAACAACGTGGGAGAAGCTTATTTTTGAAGCGTATCGAGAAGGCATTGATTTGTGCGAACGTTACATGTAAATATCATTTAATCATATATGATAGTGATATATCATATTGTGTCACAAAATATCACAAAGCACTTTAACATCTTTTCGAAAATATTGTACTTCCATTCCATCCCAGATATCACAGTAATGTTTGAAAAATGTATTAAAAATGTATATACATGTTGGACGTTTTGGATATACTAAAACCATTCAAATTAGATACATGGATATTCTAAAAACATTTTAAAAACATCTAGTATAACCATTTTGGACATCTTAAAAACGTCCATTTTAGGATGAAAAGGACTAAAATTGGACTTAATTATTCAATTAAACATAATTTAGACAATTTCCTCGGACAAACTTGCACGCTGGTAGCGAAATATTTTTAAATCTTATTACTGCAAGCAGCACGCTATTGTTGCTTGACGCTTACTGCTTACTGCGTACGGTATGAACTAAGCTTTAATTTGGTAAACTTTTGCGCTACTGGAGGTAAAAGTGCGATCTTAAATAAATCTTCGCTTGGCAAGTCAGCGAAAGCAGAGCAGACTTAGAAAATGTTGTAATAAACATTTTTTAATTGGCTAAATGTAAACTTACGTTGGACATTGAATAACGTACGTTTATAAATCATTCGTACTAAGTCCACGGACCTTTGGACCAGATTGAAACCAAGTCCGGATGTCCAATGGATGACTGGGATTAGGAAGAAACATTTGTTTTCCTTTTTGTTTAGTATGTAGTGGTATTTTGTATAAAATGTAGTTTATATATTTCGATGGCATTTCCAATAATTAATATTTAACGTAAAATTTTACAAAATGTAAGATCTGAACATTTATATTCAAACTTAAATATGATCCAAGATTTTGTTTCTTATAGTAAAAAAGTAATAAATTGCTTATATGATATTGTATTGTATAAAATGAAAAATGATGTTATATGTTTTTTCCATGTGCTTTTGGATTAATTTCAATCAATAAATAAATTTGAACTTTGTATTTATATAGTAGAAAGAGAGAGAGAGAGAGAGAGGGAGAGAGAGAGCGCACTACAAAATTAATAAAGATTACACATTACATGCCGTTTTTATACATATATATATGTTTCTGTAGGCTGGTTACTGGACTAACGGAAGATAAGAAATCTTATCCTGTTTATGGTGTTACCATTGCCGAAATAAAAATCGATGTGCTGACCGGTCAGCATATTATTAGGAGGGTTGATTTGATGATTGATAGTGGTCTAAGCTTGAATCCACTAATTGATGTCGGTCAGGTGGAAGGAGCTTTCGTAATGGGAAAAGGATTCTGGACATCTGAAGATCTGGTGTACGATCCTGAAACAGGAATATTAATGAATAACAAATCATGGGTACGTTAAGTTTATTAAATTTCGATACACACACGCAATATCAGGACTCTAATACTTCATTTCTTTGAGATTATCTCAGCAATATATAATTAAATTATCTCTAATGTGCATGACTATTTTCATAGAATTATAATGCACCAGGAGTGAGGGATATTCCAGAAGATTTCCGTGTATACTTACGCAATAACAAAGTCGACGCAATTGCTATCTACGGTTCAAAATGTAAGAACTGAACATTTTTATTCAAATTTAAATATGATATGCAATTTTGGTCTTTATTGTACGAAAGTAATAAAATACTCCTATGTTATGATATTGTATAATATGAAAAAGTAATGTATTACTTTGTGTAATGTAAATTTAAATCTCGGATGTTTCCTACATTTGTACCTATGATTAGAAAATTCGTAAAAATTTTGTTAGAAAAAATTTCAAATCCATAAAAATTTAATCAATTTACAAGCATGCATTAAAATATATTATTTAATTTGTTTAAAAAATTTAACAAACAAATTAATTAAAATAAAGGAAATTTTTTTTTAGACTTTTATTTAGAATATTAGAATCAAGAATATTTAGTCATTGATGTATTGAATAAATTCCGAAAATATGTTTGCAGCGATCAATGAAGCACCGCTTTGTATGAGTTACGTAATTCCAATAGCGATCCGCAAAGCATTGGATTCTGCTCGAATAAATGCAGGAAATAACGAATGGTATCAATTGGGTAAGTTTTAAACAGAAATACATATGTATCTAACAGTTCAACATAAATCGCCTAACTTCGTGATTCGGATTAATTTCTACGTTTTTGGCAACTAAATCATTTCATTGTCACTGCACTTTAATTTGGTGCTCGTTTTTAAAAAAAACATTTTTTTAATGTTTTTACAAGAAACAATCCAAAACAAAGTTTCCCCGATTTAGGAAAAACAAAACGAAACAGAAATTAAGGCCCGTATTCAGAACGCACTTTTATCGATAAAAGCGCGCTTTTATCTCTGAAATTCTATAGTATACGTGACGTAAACTATAGCATGTTAGCGCGCTACATCGTTGTTAGCGCTTTCTGAATACGGGCCTAAATGTTTAAAAAAATTTATTTTACAAAGGAATTAAAAATGAGCATATACCACGTGTCGCTGAATAGATTGCAAAAATATAATGTATTTCGTAGAATATTAAAACGAAATTTTTATTATTATTAGCAAAACGATTTGGCCTTTAATATGACCATCATCGGTAAACGAAGAAAAATTAATTTAATATATTGCGAAGAATATTACTTAAATATGGCGTTTCGTTCTAGCTTCCACTACTGGACTCGTCAGTAAAGCATTGTAGTGGAAGCCTACCTTATACGACTGTAAGAGTTATTCAATCGAGATTCTATATAAAGCGATATACGCGTATTAAAGTATTTGCGAGAATTTGCAAATATCTATAGACTTCTGATGGTGGGTCGACGTAGTAATATTCTTCGCAATATTTTATCCATAGTAATGTATGTATTACCTCCATCCCCCCTTTTAACTTAGGCGCAGAACTATCGTCGGTATTGAAACACAAATCTTTTAAAAATCCCCCCTTTTAAATAGTTTATATTTACACGAGCAGTAACATGTGTCTTAGGTTACCATTTAGAGTTGCGCTTCGAAACCGACGATATAGATTGACGCGTAAGTTAAAAGGGGGGATGGAGGTAATACATACATTACTATGGATAAAATATTGCGAAGAATATTTCTACGTCGACCCGCCATCAGAGGTCTATAGATATTCGCAAATTCTTGCAAATACTTTAATACGCGTATATCGCTTTGTATAGAATCTCGATTGAATAACTCTTGCAGGCGTATAAGATAGGCTTCCACTACAATGCCTTACTGACGAGTCCAGTAGTGGAAGCTGGAACGAAACGCCAACTCGTGATATTCTTCGCAATCTTATTTTTCACAGATTTACATTTATCATTACTTTAACATTTACATCGTTACAGTTTAATATATGTCTTTTAACATATTATTAAGATCCAATAAGATGCTATAAGCATCAAAAATTGTTAGATTGCTTGTCAAGTTAACTAAAAGTTATATTACTGCGGTAGTTGTTTAGCGTTGCGTTGTATGAAAAAATTTCGGCACACGATTAAAGGGACTACATCCGCAGTATACATATAAAATTCACACATAAATTTAATAAGCATTTGTGATCCAGCTTTGACCGTTAGTGGCTTTGACCGTTATTGGTTTCCTTCTTCTTGTATGTTTATTGTTTATCAATTGTACGGTCTTAAAATGATTTTAATATGATAATAAAAAAATAAGAACTAATAAATATAAATACATATGTTACAAGTTTCGTCTCTCGGATTGAGCCCTCCTCAGACATTAATTAAAAAACGGTTTAATGGAAACTGCACGAACGATCTTTCAACGATTAATTTTGTCCGCCGTTTTTTAATGTCTGAGGAGGGTTCAATCCGAGAGCCGAAACTTGTAACATATTTATATTTATTAATACTTATATTTTTATTATCATAGTTAATTGTTTGAAGGGAATTAGTGTTAAGCATTGTTTAAATTAATTATTGAAAGTAGTGAATAATTATATGTTTTATTATTGAACAAAAATCTTTATGACTTATATCGCTCTTGACATCTTATTGTTTATTTTTATATAACGAGTCCTTATTTCTTTTCTATTAATTTTCTCTTTGAAATTAAAATAATAAAGCCACAATTAAAGCCACAATTAAAGGATTGCCTTTTATGGTTTCATTTTCTTTTAATCGTTTTTCAGAATTATTATATCAATTACATTCTTCATATTAATCACAGACACAGTATTCATGACTCATAGTCCGACATGAACATTTAAATTTTGTTGGAAAAAACTGAAAACATTTTACATAATTAAATTAGAAAATTTATGTATTTTCATGTATATAATATATGTAGCTTCTTATAAAATACCAAAATAATAGTAAAATAATATTTAAGATGCTTTAAAATATAATTCGTTTTGTTTATAGATGGACCGTGTACTACCGAACGTATACTTCTAAATACTTTAACTAAAGTAGACA